GGCTGTTCACTGGAGCTCGCCAAGGCTCACTGACTCGCAGCGCCGACTGTGGCAGGTCAGTTACTGTGTTGGTCAGTAATTTAACTGTCTGACATATTTTCATCATTTTATTTAATGTTTTTTAATAAAGTTGGATGTAAGGCTCATTCTGACAAATAAGTATCCAGGTGAGCTCATCAGGTAGTGGTCAGCTGATCACCTGGATGCAGGGGACGCGACATGTCTTATAGGCTACATCAGCAACGACAGTAAAAACCGCTTCATGTTCACGTCGCTGCCGTCTGACACGGACGCCCACGGCCTCATGTATAATGTAAAGGAAAGCACTGCATTGCTGTGTTTATGGCAGATAAATACACGCTGTACTCAGCATCTATAGTTAATGCGCATGTTGCTTTTCACAGATATTAGCTGCAGGTGGTAGGTGTAGGTCTGCAGAGAAAAGAGCATTTGTTCCATGATGCTGGTACATGAGAGAACAGGAGGAGATTCATCCTGCATCTAGTTCTGGTTTCTATACATCCAGGACGCAGCGTGTCCCGCATTGCATCACTAATGTAATTAAACCAAACTCAAAGAAGAGGACGTCCAAGTGCTCTGTTGGTGTCCACAGTGTCGCTTACAGTGGGATGCTCACCAGCGTGTCAGATTAGCTCAGATGTGGGTTTGGGTTTGGTTTCACTCTGCTCTGACTCATACTGTGGATATTATGGGCTGCCTCCCTGCTCAGCGACACCGCGACCCTTCTGTGGAGCACGATAAAAGAAGCAGCTTCTTTCTTGTTGCGGAGGTCTGGAGCAGCTGTGCAGCTACAGAAGTGTGTGTGTGTGTGTGTGTGTTTCTGGTTAATGGTGCATTTTCTTTTGATGTTGCCTCTCTAGGCATGGCAGCAATGGCACATCTCCATGGCAACAGGCGTGCAGAAGCTGAAACGATTCTCCTGGTTAATCACTGCGTGTGCGTGTCAGTGTTTGGACGCGTCCAGCAGCTCTGCAGGCTGACATATTAGCGAGCTTTAAACTGTGCTTGAGGTTTTCCACCAATCACCAACTACATTTATGAAAACACCAACAGTTAGTGACCAAGCTGAGCCGCACTGTGCTGATCCATGTGACCATGTAAACAAACTGGTCCAGAGGCCGGTGCCGTAAGTTCAGAGTGACCATCACCAGGACAGCTGAACAGTGGAAGCATCAGTAGGACAGAAGCACAGACACTGATTCAGATTGATTGGTTGTTGTCGTTCCAAACAGAGAGTTGTGAAGGCATTGTTCGCTTTCCTTCCTGTCGCTGCAGAGCTTCTCACACAGGCCCACACAGACATGGAGGTGTGATGGGAGAACTGTGACTGCTTGTGGATATTAACTAGTTCTTCTTGATGCTTTCTTCCAGTTTGCTGTTGCGTCTCCAGCTTTCTAAAAGACTCTGTATTAATCCGTAACATTGAACTAAAACACTACAGCCTTGGAGGGATTTCGTCCATTTGACTCAGATGCACATAACATGATGATTTAATCACATACGTGTTCCTGAGATGACAGACGAGGTAAGAAGCTCAGTTCTGATGTGAGCGCTCTGATTACAAACTGCTGCTGGAGTCTTTATATCATGAACGTTTTCACACGATGTATAGTTTGTTAAAATGGGCTGAAGCTGTTTAAAACACAGCAGGTGATTAAAAAAAACAGGAAAAATGTAAAAATATATTTCTGATGGTCATCCAGAACAACACATACATACAATACGCTTTGTTCCAAGAGCTTTAGATGTGATCTGATCTGGAAAAATATGCCGTAAATCAGGTTTTGTTGGTGTAAAAATGAGTTGGTCAGGGAAGCAGCATGACTTGTATTAAAATAACTTGTGCTGAAGCGAGCACAGCGTCACTGATTGGTCACGGTGAATAAAACACTGGTGTGAGTGTGAGAAAAACTGCCCAACCCATGATTATGCTCTTTATGTACAATAGTTTTGGTCAGATTCAAGGAAATGCACAGATTTCTGTTGAATGAGGTCGTGTGTTGTCCACCGTCAGGAAACACGTCCTGGACTCAGTTGTTCTTCTGTGGGCGACGGTCTCACATGAATATTGCTCTCTGCTTAGCTGCTGCTGGTCAGATTAATTCATTAAAAGCACTGCTCTTAAATTCTGACTGAATATGGACTGTGAGGCTGTGGCAACAGCCAGCAGAAATAATGCCATGAGGATGGCACAAACAGAGAATCCATGGATTCAGGAGGTCAGACAGCAGCAGCAGAGAGCAGGTACAGCATGGACCATCTCTGGAGTCAGTATCACAAGGGCTGATCCAACATTTACACGGTAGGAAACGGGAAAGGCAGCCTGTTACTCCTCCTGGTGCTTCACTGTCTCTGAATTAACACTGGCTGAGCTTGTTAGTCAGGATTCAGTGACCTTATCAATATTCATCTGGCTGAAAAGATGGCCCACGGCAATTACCAAGAACATAATATTTGTCCCGCTCTTGACAAGCCCATAATGAGCTGCAGACACATCGCTGCCATGAATCCACATTCAGTATTAATTCATTCAAACAGATGTGAGCAGTAGAGCTATAAGTCGAGCAGCTCGTGATGTGGAGAGCTGCTGCAGCTTCAGTCTCACTTACAGATGAGTTTGCAGGTCTTTAGTTTAGAAGGTGGTGGGAGTTTCTAGCAGATGTGTCATGCTAGAGGTTTAAAGGCAGTGTTTCCTTTGACTTCTCCTCCAGGATCAACAACAACACTGACAGCTGATAGGATGGACAGGAGGAGTCGTCTCCTTGTCAGCATGACTGCATTCTGATTTTTAATCCATTCATTTTACATGATGTAATAGGAATTTTAAATACCACTCAAACTTGGATGTAGGCAAAGTCTATTCTGTTCTGACCTGACAGAGCTGTTCCTCAGGTGAGCGCTGCCTTCAGGTACTGACATGATCCTGACTTCTTACAGGTGAATGCATGACATGGTTTACTCTGTGCTTCATGCGGTCTGGTCCCAGTCTCACAAAAAACCCTCACAAGGGCTCAAACTAGTCCACACAGATGTAGTTCATGGTTCTGTTGTATTGTGTTGACAGCTGTCTCTGTCTTCTCCATTAATAGAGGGTAAAACACCAGCGACACACCTCTGACACAACAACAGTAAACATTAAAACCTCCATGAAGGCGGGTTAGAGTCAGACTGCTGGCTGGGTGTACCTAATAAACTGGCTCCTGCATTTATACCAGGCTTGGATTCAGCCAGAGGACTGTGTGGTCCTGTGTTAACCTGTACTTTCTCTTTGAACACAACTTTCCTGAGTGCTGGTTTTACAGCTGACTGTCCACATCAGGACCTCAGTGCTGAACCTGACAGAAACGCGCCCTCTGCTGGACGACTTCAGAGCCGTTCGGACTTCCTCTGATTAATTTCCAAGTATTAAACCACAGCGATGTGTTAAAATATCCAATGACACACGACAAATCGCCAACAAACAACTCTGAGGCCGCCTGAGCGCAGGGTAAAGGTTTCGGTCGCTCACCTGCCATCCTGGACTCCATTTCCCGTCAGCCCTCGGGCCGCGGCGCAACCTGTGACGCATATTGTAGTCGACCGTCAACCCCAGAGCCGACCCACACTGACCCGATGGACGGAGTTAAACGACAGAACAAGCAGTTCTAGTCCTGTGCAGGGTTCGGGTTCGTGCTGGATGTCAGTGACACCATCGTCTGAGATGTGTCTTCCACTTTATGCGGCCGACTGTTTGTTTTCGGGCCGGTTCCGTCGCTTGTTCTGCCGCTAGCCGGCTGCGTTTAGCTGGCTCGGTACCGCCGCTAGTTCAACATGACGCTTCCAGCTTTGCACAACACCGGCGTGCTTTACAGGAGGATACTGGCACAGTTTCCGCAGGACATCAGTTTAGCTTTCGCCTATGGGTCAGGCGTTTTTAAGCAGCACGGGACCAGCCAAGGTCAGATGGAGGTAAGACTCACCTGTTAACCCGGTAACTGGGTCACGACCTTAAACAGGTCCGCTGGAGGCGGAGGTCACGGACAGGAAGCGCTCTGCTGGCACACCGACGACCAGGACAGGAGACTCCTCACCTGCTGGGGTTATTACGTCATGTTGTGGTTTTGTTATGTTTCATGTGTTCATGCTGTACTCAGTGTTCCAGAGGCTCCATCCTCACACACACACACACACACACACACACACACACACACACACAGTGTCACTGAGCTCCAGATCAGCATCACTGTAGTAAGATCACTGCTAGAAAGTCTAATCTTACCATATCTGAACTCTTGTCTTTCTTTTTCTAAAGTTCACCTCCACCTGTACGGACCATACGTATGCATAGTAAAGGCCTTTATTACACATACGTATGGCACAGACTGTGTATACCTGCTCAGGTATAGAGCTCTTCACTGAAGCACGTGTCTTTGACACACAAACCAGCTTTTTTGTTCATAGATTTGTTACAGCTGTCCTGGAAATGTGACAGAATCTTCTGGGTCAGAACTATACAGGATTTACATGTCTTTCTGCCGTGTTCAGCCCAGGTCGGGGCTTTCTGGAGCCGTGCACACCGGCTGCATCTAAGACCGCTCCTCTTGACAAGTTTAGTGCAGTTCAGCTAAAGACTAGAGTCTTCATCAGTCCACAGGTTCTTGACGGGGTTCAAGTCAGGACTTTAGGGAGGCCGGTCTGTAACCTTAATTGGACCAGATCTAGTCGATCATAATCACTCAGGAAGAGTTCAGAGGCCATGCTGATGAACACGACTGATCATTCAAGCTGCTGCTGCATGTTTTTAATCCGTCACATTCCCAGAAGACTGATCATAAATCTGTGACAGAATCGTTCCATCGTAGAACATGAAGAGTTAGACGAGCCTCTGAAGCTTCAGCCAGAGTAAACACAATGAGCTCCGTGTACGTGAGCTTTACTTCAGCGCTGTGAGTACCTGCTCATCAGTACTACAAACATCTATTTTCCAAATACTGGTTTCAAAAATACAACATGTGAGAATCAAAGTGTTTCTGAAGCAGGTCCACAGTCGTGCAGGTCATCAGACAGAAAGCTTCACACCCACTGAGCTGCTGCTCGTCCACCAGCTCCTCATCTGCTAGGATCCTCTGTATGGATGGAACAAAGCTCACAGAGAAGCTTCTCTGGATTCCACATTCACTGTTTTGATGTTCTGTGTTTCCCTGTGAACATGCAGAGGAACATGCTGGACTTTGTGTTTGCGGTGGACGACCCGGTGACGTGGCACACCATGAATCTGCTGCAGAACCGCAAACACTACTCCATCCTCAAGCTGCTGGGCCCCACGACGATCAGCTCGATTCAGAACGAGCACGGAGCTTCTGTGTACTACAACACGCTGGTGCCCGTGGATGGGAGGGTGAATATCTACACGGTTCTCTGTTCTTCTGCAGCCCACTGAGGAGCACACGCTAGGAATCATGTCTGCTAGATAAGAATACAACATGAAGGTTTTCTTCTCCAAGTGTGTTCTAAAATCTTCTTCTAGGACTTAAAGAGTCTCATCAGGGTTTTCACAGCACGTCTCTGCGGTTCGGTACCATGTTAGTGTGGGTCTAGAGTCAGACTTTAATTATTGAATTAATCTGTTGTCTTCCTCTTCTCAGATAATCAAATACGGTGTGATCAGTACGGAGTCCCTGATCGATGACCTGATGCACTGGAAGACCATGTATGTGGCCGGACGCCTTCACAAACCCGTCAGTACCCCGATCAGAACAACCAGAACCTGGCACACATGTACAGCTGCAGCTAGTTTTATTCTGCTTGTCTTTGTTAGACCAACTGTTTCCAGAGCAGAGCTTCAGATAAAACCTGTGAGGTGGCGTATGCATTTTGTTCAAACACGGGTCAGGCCAGTCTTTGGTTCCTTTGTACTGGACTGAAGTAAAAGCCTGTCTAATGACAGCTTCTCAGGCCGTGATGACGTGTGCAGCGTGCTGATGCAGCGTCTGCGCCCATGCAGGTGAAGATGCTGGTGCAGGGCGAGAATGGGAAGCTCCGCGCCGCCCTGGTGGCCAATCTGAAGAGTGCTGTGACGGCCTCCTTCCTCATGCTGCCGGAGAGCTTCACTGAGGAGGACCTCTTCCTGCAGATCGCTGGTCTCTCTTATGCTGGTGAGCAGCTTGTAAACCTGTAGGTTACACGCTGTGATATTAACAAGGTTAATGCAGTCGTATGAATCACACACAGACATTAGATCTGGATAATAAAAGCCTCTCTTTTGTTCTTTTTCTCCCACTGGCACACAAACACATGTTGCTGTTGTTTTCCGTGTTAGCAGGAGGCTGAGATCCGTCCCAGGGTTTGTTTTCTCTGGAATAACACTCGAGCTTGTGTGGATAAAACCTTTGAGTCCGATGTGGACGTTCATGCTCCCCGAGCCGCCGTGTGTTTGGCAGGACTGACAGAACTCACTCTGTTTATGTTGTCTTGTGCTAGTCAGTGAAATAGAAGGACGTACGTAGATGTGAATCCTTAGTTTACATGCTGATGACCAGAGAAGTGATATCAGGTCATGTCCTGATGCGCAGGCTAATGAGTATTTAAACACTAGAAACTGAACATGGAGGGCGTTCAGTGTCCCAGAGTTTGTTACTGCTGTGGAACAAAACATGTAAAGCAAACATCTGACACGTGACTTTGACAGGACTTTGTGGACGTTGTGTTGTTGTTATGTGTGCTCAGGGAAACCATCTTTCTGCTCCTTTGCAGGGGATTTCAGGATGGTGATTGGAGAGGATAAGTCCAAAGTGGCCAATATCGTTGAAGACAACATTCAGCACTTCAGGATTCTGTACAGCAACATCCTCCGGGACTGTCCTCAGGTGGTCTACAAGCCCCACCAAGGGAAGCTGGAGGTATGAAAGGACAACAAGAGACACAACACACACCGACTGTTATGACCTGGCTGGATGAGCTGCATCTGGAGCTTTACCTGAAAACCCCTCAAACATGATTAAAATGTAAGACATGAGCTTCACTTCCCAGGAACAGGTTGTAGGTCTGTAGCATGAACTGAAGCTTCGTTCTTTTCACCAAACTCTCCTTTTTAAGTGTAGTTACAGAAATATTTTCACAAAGATGGAGAAGTGCAGTAAGGTTCCTGTCTGTGCTGCCTTTAAAATGGAATTATCCACGTGATGGTTTGACTTGTAGCTGGGAGATTAGCAGGGTCAGCACCAGCACATGGATGTCCTGGTGCTGCCATGTTTGCACACTTCCTTGTGAACAGTAATAACTCTGCCTGTCGGTCTGCCTTGTTTCTGGCTCGGTGAGCGTCGCTGTGACTGGTCGTCTGTGTGCACCTCCCTTCATTTATTCTTGTTTGTGCTCCTGCAGGTTGACAAAAGCCCAGAAGGCCAGTTCACCCAGCTGATGGCGCTACCTCGCACTCTTCAGCAGAGGATCACCAAGCTGGTCGACCCTCCAGGGAAGAACCGGGATGTGGAGGAGATCCTGCTGCAGGTGGCCCAGGACCCGGACTGTGGAGCAGTGGTGCACCAAGGTACAGACCACAAAGAGGAGATGGTCTGCTGTAAGATCGGCGGTCTAGACGCTGGAGAGAAACATCTGCATAAATAGAGAGGAAGGGGAAAGGAGAGGTGGAGGAGGGTTCACCATCGCTCTAGTCCAGGAACGATAAATATTAACACCATGATGGATGAACAGTTTAATTCATGGCTTTTATGAACACGTGGGCAAGAATGTCCTGCGTTGGCATTGATGGGTAACATCAGAAATGCCCTGGACAGCAGCTCCAGAGCCTCTGTCAGTGGTGAGATGCTGCTGGTGTGATAATAGCAGGTCTGAGCTTGTTGTTGTTCCTCCTCAGGTGTCTCCTCTATTGTGAAATCCTCCAGTATAACCCAGAGCATTAAGGGCATCGCCACCGCTGGTAAGACCTCTGATACATACGCACAGTATTCATTGTTAGGATGTCTTCATGTGGATTCATTTGGTTCTTCAGGTCCCTTAAAGGAATATTATGACACTTCAGAAAATGCAGTTGTTCACGTTTTAGCTGGATGAGCAGAATAACATGACTGTTCTCTGACCTAAAGCTAGCTGGTACCTTAGAGATGGGAAACGGAGAACCTCCCTGTGTCCAGAGACACCACGATCTGGCCAGAGCTCCTCAGACGCTCACTGATCAACATGTTGTTTTAATCCGTACAAAGCCTTACTGGGCAGAGTGCTGGCTTCTGGCTGCTTCAGTGGCCTCTTGTCTTTAATTAGAAATGTGTTGTGGGGAAGGTGGATATCTGCAAAGTGTTCTGAAGCCTTCCACTGCATGCCAGTGCCTGTTTTAGTGTAGAGCGCTCCCATGTGGTCGCTCACGTCGCCTGCTCTTCGTGTCCCTCTCAGGTTTGTGGAAGACGGCGTCGTACAGCTCCAAGAAGCTGCTGAAGATGTGGAAGGGCTGGAGGAGGAAGCCGTCCGTCTCTCAGATGTCCTGATCCACCAACCCGTCTGTCTGACAATCCAACAATGTCCGTCCTTTTGTTCTAACCCAGACAAACCGGCCAGAACCACCGCCCCCTAACGTCTGGCTGTGTCCCTCCAGCGTCTGAACCAATCACAGGTGTGAGACTGGATTGCCTCCAGCCATGTCTGCGTCTGCCCTTTCCACTAAATTCATTAAAAGTCGTAGAATAAAAGGTGACATTTCCTGAGCTGGACTGAATAGCGGCTGACATTTGATGCTACCACCGATCTGGGTCTGAGTGGCGGCTGCAGTGACTCATGAGGCTGAATCGGATCGAGTTTAACGTTTAAGACGTGACTTTGGTTCTGTGTGTTAGGACGCCATCTTTTGAACCGTACGGCAGGTGATGGGCCGCGGCAACATGCTGGAATGGAGAATAACATTTCTATGTGGAATTAACACGCGTCTTGTTGGTCTACTCGTAATGCAAAGACGTGGTCTCCTGGACGTCTGTCAGTGTTACTTCACTCCTTGTTTCTGTGAGCTGAGCAAAGTTCAGCTACAAGAAACAGGTTTAATAAACTCTATTAACACAGAACTTGGTTTTGTTTTTAATGCGTTCAGGTCTCCATAAAATCCAAGGTGGTTTTACAGGAAGTCATAAGAAATGTTCTGTGGACGTCGTCAGCTTCTCTCGTCTGCGTCCGCTGGCTGGTCAGAGGACGGGTTCGTTTGGGTTCATATGATCTGTTAAAGCAGACCGAGCGGGACGAGGAGTCGGAAACATCACGGTGACACACTTCAGTCTGTGTGAGATCAGACCTGTTGTTTTAGTGAGAAAAGCCTCTGTTTTGATTCAAGGCGATTCCAGGACGTTGCTGTTGGAGCTTCGCCACGCGACAGCAGAGTTTAGTGTCCGCAGTGACAGAATGGAGGCTGAGGCGTCCGACTGGAGCAGCTCAGACGTCAGCAAGGTTGTTTGTGACACTTCTGCCTCTTTGCAGTCAGAATCTGCTAAATGTTCATCATGAATGTTCTCGTCAAATGTTTTATGTAACTGAATCCAGCAGAGCGAGAGGCTTCAAACAGGTGGAGGAACCCACTCACATCCACAACAAACCACAGCAAACACAGACTCCAGCTCTGGCTCATGCTTTTGGAATCAAAACACTCAACACATTATTTTTCAAATCAAGTCTAAGTTTTCATTTCTGGATGTAAAACTTGTCCAGTAAACATGAACATCTGCTATCTTCCCCTTCTGATCAGGAATCTTTAGAAGTAGAGCAGGAAGCCCCAGAGCTCCTGGAGCTCCTTTGTTCCACCACAGCAGCAGCACTTCCAGTAACTCCTGATCCTGTCACTGCGTTGTTCACCGAGTCGTGAGTCACACATGAATCATCTAAGAGCAGGTTCTTACACTCCGTCCTCAGATGTCTCCTGCTTGGTGCTGGTGGGGATGGACCAGCCGTCGCTGCCTCTCTGTGTGTTTGGTGACTTTCACCACCTACACTTCTGACAGTCTGACATCGTGTTGCTGTTTTACGGCCTTCTGTGCGTCTTCTCCACCACATTACAGAGACAAATAGTGCACGTTGTCCTCTGTCATTACTCAGCAGAGAGGTGTTCAGGTCCACACAGAAAACAACAGCTTCCACCTTCATGAAGGTTTGGTTCGGCCCGATACAGAGCTGTTAGTGGGAATCTTACACAAACATACCTCAGCTGGTAACATGCTGCTAAAGACGCCGCTGTGGTGCCTCGTACTCACTCTGTTGAGTTTGGGACCTTTGTTATGGGACAGATGCTTCTGAGCCGTCTTCTCAGCAGAGGACGGATCACAGAAGACCGCTCCGTAAATACACTCTGTTAAAGCATGCAAGCCTTCTCCCAGAAATGTGCTCAAGAGCCAGTGTTCAGAGAGGAAGTGCTGCAGACAGGCTGTGGTCCAGTGCCTGTGGTCCAGTGCCTGTGGTACCGTTCTGCATGAAGCTGTTAGATGACTGGTCCTCATGAATGCAGCGCTGGAGTTCTCCAGATCGGTCTCGACTACAACATTAATGTAGAAGCAGGATTTCATGTAGCTGGTTGAGTGAAGCTCATCTGGACTGTTATGTGCCGGTTCTGCTCGTCTTCATGACGGGTCACTGTCCTCATTATTTTGTCCATCAGTCAAACGATTGTTTGGTTTGTAGAAAATCTGAAAATAGGAAGAAATGCTTTGACAGGAGCCTGAAACAGATGTGGAAACAGCTGCCTGGAGTCTACCAGCTGGCTCAGGGATGAGTCCACCAACAGGTCCGGCTGTATGTGTGAAGTTCTGGTGGCATCATTACAATTACACTTACAGGTATAAAGCATACGGTACCGGTGCTGCTGGACACGTGCAGTCCAGTTAACAGGACATCACGTGTCTCAGGTTCGTACTTCAGTCACACACCAGAGTACATGTACTCCGTTACTTGCTGCTGCTGCTGAGTGTTTCCTTGTTAGTGAAACATCAAGTGGCCTGAAACGGAACCAGGAACCAGCACAGAACCGCACGTCGGTACCGAACTGGAGTAGATGTACCAGAGAGGAGAAAAACCGGTTGGATGAAGAAATATTTCACAAAAAACAATAAAAGTGATGAAAAAAGTGTTTGTTAATGAACCAGTGACGTCCAGTTTGTGTTCATGTATGAACTGGTTCCGCCCACAGGAAGAGGCGTGGTGGCGGGAAACTCCTTCTGTCTGCTTCCTGAGCAGCTCCTCAGCCTCCAGCACCGGGTCGCCTGTCAGCAGCTCACGGGCCGCCGCTGCTCGGTTCTGCTGCTCGGTGCCGCTGGGCTCGGGCCGGTCCCGGCAGCGGCAGCGCGCCTCCGGAGGACGTGATGCAACGCGCCGCGTCATAATGTATGCTGAGCTCACTGCTCTGGGCTCCGCCAATCAGCGCGCTGCACTTTCACCACCTGCCAGGACCTTCATTCCATCATTCCAGGCATTCCTCCTCCTCCTCCTCCTCCTCCTCCTCCCCCCCTCCCTCCTCCTCCTTCCTCGTTTACTACCGAGTCGGTCCGACGCTCCGCTACTGTTGTCTGTCCAGCGGGCTCCGCTCGGCTCGGTTCGGTTCTTTGTGTCTCAGTGGGATCTACTTTCTTTTAATTTACTTCCTCGTGAGTGTGTGTGTGTGTGTGTGTGTGTGTGTGTGTGGACGGTTTCATTCTGGACCCCACAGTGGCGCTGGAAGGAGGTAAGAGCTGCTCAGCACCAGCTTGGTTAGTTTGGGGTTCGTTATCGGTTCGGCTCGGCTGTAGTTCGGTGTTCTGGAGAAGTTCGCTGCTGTTTTCTGAGACGTGAACTCAGAGCGCAGAGGAACCGGGACGGGGTTCCGCCTTCTCAGCACCAACTTTCATTGACTGGCGGGTTCCCGGAGCGGGTCTGTCAGAACCACCTGCAGCTGGGCTCCGCTCCAGGCTGGGCCGGGTCTGTGCTGGACCGGCTCTACCGGGTCCACTGGCTTCCGGCTGGACTGGGTCCACCAGGACCGGGTTCACCGGGTCCTGTGATCCTGTTTAAACACGGACCAGGCAGAAAGTGTCACAAACCGAGAACAGCCCCGGTGCCGGTCCAGCACGGTGCCGGTCCAGCCCGGTGCAGCAGCACCTCTCCTCCCGGATCGGCTGAATCCTGCCGCCAACAGAACCGCGTCATTGATTTATGTTGACTGGGACAGAAGTTCCGCGTTTCCGCTGCACCGGTCGGTCCAGTCCGGGGTTCTGGACGGGTTCTGGCTGATTCTGTGGCTCATGTTTTCCGGGTAAACGAGGGAAGGTATCTGAGGAATGCACCGAGAGGCGCTGGACACGGCTTTCTGTCTTTATCCACAAATACCGCTCATAGCTGGGCCGGCCGGACCGGTCCACATGTGGGAGAAAAGCCTGAAAAGCCCAAAATACGTTTTTACAAGAATGGATCAGAACCATGAGAGGCAGCCGTGGAGCTTCAGGCAGGATCCACAGAAGTAAAAGTTTTCTCTGTCAGAAGTGTTCAGTTCAACTCTGTCTAGCAACCAGAACCAGAACATCCTCGTTTAGTTCTCTGTGTTGGACCGCTGGCTGACAGGAGGAGCTCTCCACATGTCAGTTCAGGTGTTTTATAGCAGGCCTCTACAACAGAACTGTCTGAATCCACCACATAGCAGGTTCTGTTCTTGTTGTCTGCATCAGAACCAAGTCATCCAGACTAGAACACTGAGGACTTGTCATGAGTCTGGATTTGTTTTGCTCCTTCAGAGCTGATGGTAAATGGACCTGGAGTAATCATCACGGATCACATCTACCTGATCAATGTCTCATAAACGTAGTTCGTGTTCTGTGAAGCATTGATCCAGACCTTCAGGTACTGAGAACCAGAACCCACTCGGCTGGGAGCCTTGCCTGTTGGCAGGAGCGTAAAACATGTAATCTGTCATCTGAACATTAAGTCTTATTCAACGGTTGCCTGCAGAAGCCAGTACGTGAAAGTGTTCATTTAGGATATTTCAGGAATGCTTTGCTCACAAAGTGGGCACAAGACCGTCCGACAGGCGGCTGTGTGTTTAGGAGAACCTGCCTGTCATGGCCGCCATCGCTGGCGTGGAGACGTGTCGCCGGTAGCGTCTCATGTTGGTGATAGAAGTGTGGAAACAGCGACCATGTGGTGTAGCCATGACATGTAGAACCACAGTAGTGGCAGTAAAGTACAACAACACACCTCATGGATCTGCTGCCCCAGTGCATGCTGGGAGGACTTCCAGCCGGCCTGCCTCTTAACTCTCTGCTCACTTTGCCTTTATTCAAAGCATGCGTGCAAAATAGTTTTAAATAAATCCCTCCTCCAGCTGCTTTCAAAGAACCTCATCATCAGGATTGTTTGAGCCTGTCAGCCTCCGTTAGCCTGGATTAGCTTAGCCACATTTAAAGGACAGCAGCCTGCTTAGGTGGCTTTAGCTCTACACATTTAAATCAACATGTTCGACATACATACTAAAAGCTGTGATAAGGTACACATGATGTCCAGCCCTGTGATGTATAGTCAGAGGTAGTATTCTATAGAAGACACAGGATATAATGAGAGTGTCATGTTTTATGAAGACGCCAACAGGTGTGTCCCACCTCAAGACCTTTTGAGTAACAACTGAATCGCTTCAGTGTCAAGTATCGAGAAAAAGCTGCGAATGAAAGTCGGCTTCATGCTTCGTCTGGTGCACTTCAGCTTTTGGGGACTTTTGTGGGAGTAAAACATTCTGATACTGAGTCTGCTGATATTCTTC